GGTGATTCAGGCGATCCACCCAGAAATAGGGGAGATTTTGCAGTTGGTCTATCTTTAGCTTAAGCACTGACTTAAAAGTAGACTTAGGTTTAACTTATAAGGAGATTTTGAGTGAGGATGTATTATGGAGTTGTATTCTCCATACACTTATGATCTTAGCTTGGGGATTGGTCTGCCGTGTGTTACATGTCCTTTTGATCATTTGATCCAAGTTCAGGGCTAGATCCAGCTTGATCCCTTGAGGATCACTTACTGTTATCACTGATAACAGGTCGGGGCCGATTCGTCGGTCTACGACTCAATTTCAACTCTCCCTCTACACTCAACCTAAAAGGCTTTAGCCCTGGTGATTTCGTTGTTTTATTAAGGTTTCACCCGGACTTTTATTGAATAGCCATTTAACAAAGGTACTGAGTATTTTAACTAAGGTTGGTTGGACAGGAGGTTTTGGGGCTTGTATGGCTAAAGCGAGGGGTATGAGTGTCGAAGGTGGTTGGGATTGACTCCGTGTAATGTGTGGGTTGTTGATTTGGTTCTTTGATGTAACTGCAGGTATGTACTGTGAGTCAGATTCTGGATTTGGTTGCCTGCGATCACACATATACGTATTATTGTGAGAAACCCCAGTGAGACCGTGAAAAGTGATCGTCACATACTTAACACTTATATATGTATACATGGGTATACTTGGGATGAATGTTTGAATGGGTTGAAGAGCCCCCACATTAGAGCCCTACTCAGAAGCTGAGACTGAGGGGCTTAGGGGAGGTCTCTCCTTTTATTTTTGTCTCTTGCTTTTTGATGATTTTCTTAGTCAGACATTTGGTCCTGGGCCGGGATTCGAGGTCCTTGTCCAGGACACCCCAAGCCCTAGGCTCTGCAGGGGAGGGGTTTTCCCTCGCGCAGAGCCTATTTGATTTGCCTTCCGAGACACTCAGGTCGAGAGCCTAAGGTGCAGCGGCGGCTGCACGACTATTCCTTCAGCCGTGCAATGTCGTGAAGGGTTAGGCCCTCACGACACTTCAAGTCTKACACTTGAGTGTCATAAGCGGTACTCGGATCCACGAGRGACCGCTTGATTATGGGCACTACATAGWACGCCATCGTTGCGACTGYTTGTGTACGCCTGCATTGCAAGTCGATATGAGTAAGCCCTGCGTCCGCGCGGTTTTATACTAAGTTCAGCGCGCGACGCCTATCCGATTTCCGCATTGGAAAGTTATGGGTTGGCTACCGAGGGGCTAGGAGCGTTGTCGCGTTGTTGGTATTGTGTCGTTTCGTATATATGTTGTTTTATGTATATGTGTGTTCATAAACTGGAGTGCGCGTGGTGTATGGGATGCGTCCTAGTCGACCGACGATGAGTCACGCTTGGGACCTCAGCCCCCCTAAGATGTCGGTTCGCGTGCGGGTCCGATAGAGGCGTATTACCGCGCGTACCCCCTATGCTACAGCGAACGAGAAACGCCCTCGGCTGGTCCACCTCTGCGATTGCAACTTATTAGCTTTCGTACTGTGGATCGGTAGCTCGGCGGGGATACGCCCACCGAAGGGAGGTGACAGCTCCCGTAAGGTGTAGGTAAGCCGTGCCTCGCGTAGGCCCTATCCTGTCGTATGGGCTCGCGAGAGGTATGGCTGGCGCACTCGGCCGGAGCGGCTTGTGGAAGCTTCATGTATATGGCGACGAAGGGCAACTCCTTCGTGACGCGGCCGGGAGGGTATCGCGCTGCCCTCGTGCGGTGCCGGACCGATGCGCCCGACAACGCCCAGATGATGGCCACGGTGTTCTCCTGGCGTTCGGACCATTCATTTATCTCTGCGCCACCACCCCATGTGGCGAAACAAGCACGCACGCAGCAGATCCACGTACGGATCTGGGACCAACTTTTCGAGTTACACGTTCCACAGTACGTACCCGATGAGATTCATCGTTTGATTGCGGACATTCTGACGGAATATCAAGGAGCGATTGGCGTAATGGACACTGACATCGGTTTGTCGTTGGTTATTCAATACGAAATTCAGACGGGAAATCATTCCCCCATCCACTGCAAGCCCTACCAATACTCCCTGATAGAACGGAAAAAGGCTCTCGAACGAATTGAATTTCGGGAATTCGAAGCAAGCGGGTGGATCGAACCCGCCACCGGACCATGGTCATTTCCAGTAGTGTCAGTACCGAAGAAGAACGGATCAAACCGCGTATGCATCGATTATCGCAAACTGGATGAAATCACGATTAAAGATGTGTATCCCCTCCCCCGGATTGATGATTTGCTGGATGCGATTGGATGTGCTAATTATTTTAGTAAGTTTGATATTCGGCATGGTTTCCATCACATTCTGTTTAAGGAGGAAGATCGGCCGAAGACGGCCTTCGTACTGTTTGAAAGCACGTGGAAGTGGGTTCGGTGTCCGATGGGAATTTGTAACGCGCCTACCACGTTTCAGCTAGCAATGAACGTGACGTTCCAAAACTTCGTCAACAAGACACGGCTGGCGCAGGGAACGATTAACTTCTGCGTGATCGTATATATGGACGATATTCTTGTCTACACGGAGACCTATCACGGACATGCGCAACACATCGAGTGGACATTGGGAACACAGAGAGACGCAAGATTCAAGATTGCACTCGAGAAGAGCGAATTTTTCCTCTCGAAAATTTCATTCTTGGGCTACGTAGTGACACATGGAGGGCTGCGACCAGATTCCAGGAAAGTTGCGGCTGTGAAAGAAGCCCCAGTTCCCACGTCGCTGACGCAGGTTCGAGCCTTCTAAGGCCTGGCATCGTACTAGCGCCGTTTTATCAAAGGATTTGCAACGATTGTTCAGCCTCTCACGAACCTGCTTCGGAAGGACCAGCCTCAGCAGTGGGACTCTGAGTGCGGACGAGCCTTTGATGCACTCAAAGAGGCTCTGGTCACTGCACCTGTTTTGATCGGACCGGACCCTGCCAAGCAATTAATTCTTATAACGGACTGGGAACCGGAAGCGATTTCCGCCATTTTGGCACAGAAGGGGAACGATGGTCATGAACACATCATCGAGTACGCGTCATGAATAGTGTCGGACGAACGAATGATTCAGCACCTCAAGGCGAATGTTATGCAGTAGTCTGGGGAATCCAGCACTTCCATTCGTATCTCTACGGACAGAAGTTCCGCCTCGTGACGGATCATGAGCCTCTGCTGGCTTTGAAGAAGCTCTCCAATTACACGGGCATGATTGGACGATGGGCGGTACGTCTACAAGAGTACGACTTCGACATCATCCATCGGAAGACAGAAAGACACGGCAACGCAGACAGACTGACACGTCTGCATCGGCTCGCTAAAGTACCTAAGGGCGAGGAAATCACTCTATGGAAGGAGTCAGAACCAGCGAACGGGCCTAAGTCCGGACAAGTGGCAGTTCTCCCACGTGGCAAGAAGCGGACAAGTGGCAATGGGTGACTGAGGTAATCCCGTAACCGCTCTTTCTCCCCTCTCCTCTTCATCTCTCCTCTCCCTGCCTGATAAATTTTGTTATTTTTGTGAAGCCATTTCTCGCGTATATTCGGTCTCCATGTGTCCTAACGGGGAAGGCTATGCAGAATGGATAGATTGTCGACAGTGTGTCGCACGAGCCCATGGCTCGTGCATCCAATACAAAAATGACAATAAGCCGTGGCTATGCCCCTTGTGTTGGGTTGACAAGATCCCGACCGAGGCTCGCTTTTTGGAAGCCATGTCAGAAGGATTGGAGAAAACCCAGAAGTTTAGAAGGGCAGAAGTATGGACCGATATCGCTCTGATTGCTACGTTAGTGGGTAACCCCCTCCAGGATTTCACCAAGGAAGATCGGAGGAGGGCTAATGAAAGGGCTCGGGATTATCGATGGGTTGAGGGTAGATTAGAGAAGCGGAAGATGGACGACAGTGGGATTTGGATGGTTGTGCCCAACCTATTCATGAGGTACGATTGGGTGAAGACAACACACGAGGAAATGGATGCCTATTTTGCCGTACGGATTACGGAGTCCGCAATCGACAAAAACGAATGGTATTGGTCCAATATTCGGGACGAGGTGAAGTTCATCGTCGCAAACTGCCAAGTCTGCGCCGCTGACTAGGCGCCGATCCAGCCGCCACGATCGATAGTACCAACGGTAGTTGAGCGGCCGTTTCAAAGGGTGAGTATGGATACAACCGATATCCAGGTACCTCCTGGTCCTAATAGTTGTAAATATTCAGTCCTATTGGTATTTGTCGACCATTTTTCGAAATCGATCGAGACCTATCCGTGTCGCATGCGACAAGCCGTCGAAATCAGACAGTATGTTAACCGTTTTCTCGGGATGCACCAGGATACGAAAGAAATCCTGACCGATAAACGGGCAGAATTCAGAGGGGGAGTATTAAGGAACCTGGTCATATACGGTGTCACGGTGCGGAATACCGCACCCCACATGTCACAATCCAATGGGCTGGTAGAAAACGTGAATAGGGTGATACAAACAGCACTGCGACAAAACATCGTGGCACGGGACCCCAGGCTCTGGCCCGATTTCGTAGATCACATCCTGGCGGTCCATCGCGGAATGCCCCATGAATCGACGGGCCTGAGCCCTTTTCAGCTGAGGACCAATAGCGTCGCTTGCGTTTTGATACCGAGCCTCCCCAATGAGTCCACGCTAAGTCGTCGGCCCACAAGGGCCACGGTTCGGGACAAGGCCAAGCGACACTTAGAGCTAATGGAACGGTCCCTCCCCAGGCTAGCCCGAAAACGCCAGAAAATGACCGAGTTGGCCCACGGCCGGCAGGTCCGAAGCTACGAGGCCCGGAATGGGAACTCAGGCCTACGGCCCCAGTACAAATTGGGGGACATCGTGCAGGTAAGGAAATGTGCTCGTCAAGGTAAGCTAGCGCCACGATTCTTTGGGCGATTCCGCGTCATTGAGCTCGGACCAAACGGCGTGAGCACCGTGCGGTTTGCGCCTAAGGTCTCCGGCAGCCGATCGGCTCGTCCGATCATCTGCCACGTATCCTATCTACGTCCCCTTCCTTCTTCCCCATCTTCGCCTCCACCTGACTTCTCCTCTGCGGAAGAGGACAATGACTGCTTATCACCTATTTGTCCTTCTTCATCTCGTTCTTTCCCAGATACCCCATCCCCGTCACTATCGCCATGAGCTTTTTCACGGAGCGAGCCCTCGGCGACCATCTCTTAACGCCACGGTGCTACATCTCGGCGATCCGACAGGTCCATCATCCGCGGCTCAGCCCGGATCTTCGACGACTCGCGCAATTCTTCTGTGCTGAGGGAGTGTACGTAGCACCTGAGTTTCGATTTGCAGGCAGTCCCCGAGCGGTTGTTTTGGCAGAGGCGGTAGCGGTTCATCGACGATCAGCCCCTGAAATCAGCCACGTGTCTACGGTTGTCGCCTTCAGCGGCGATATCAGTACCATCAGCCCGCTGCGGCATACGGCTATCAAGACGACGCTTCGGTTGTGGGCGCAGCAGTTGGCGTCAGAGTGGAATAATTGGCTCACGCCCCACGGGGATAATCTTTTCCCCACAGACGACGTCGACCTCGACGGGATCTGAGCTTTCCAGCACGAGCCGGCGGTGGTGCTTCCTGAACTCATCCCCTTCCAACATCCCCAATGAACCCGTCCCCAATCTCTACCTTCAACCTTCCTTCATTCTTTCCCACCTTCTGGCAATCCGGAGTTCATCCACATCTCTCCTTTTGTCTGGAATCACTCGTTGTCCCCCTCCTTGATCCCCAGCAGTGGAGGCGTTGGCGAGAGCATTTGACCGATTTGTCGGTGTGTCTGGTCGGGGTGAGGATCACGTGGACGTGGCACAAGGATCACCGCCAGTGGGCTGAGTACCTTGAGTTGCTTATCATCCAGGCGTGGAGAACGGGATTGAAGGCGATCTACTCGGATTCCTTTTCGGATCGGTGCGGCCCGACCATCGCCAACTGATCGTGCAAGAGCTAACGGTCCCCCTTGCGCAGCTGACCGACGATCTCCCACTTGAGATCGTCTCACAGAGCGACAACAGCCCAGTCCCACTTGTTCTCACGCGGACTTTGGCGCCATATCTTCAGTGGTCGGCGTGCTTGGAGGAACCAGGAAGCGGCCACAACCCACCATCACAGCGCGGTTATCTGAGCCTGTACGAAATAGTGGATCTTGCCTTCTTTCAAGATCGAACGGCTTCCGAGAACGAGGAGGTAGAGATTGAAGCGGAAGAGGAAAGCTCGGAAGAAGAAGAAGAAGCTGAAGAAGAGGGCGCAAAGGAAGAAACTCCCGAGGAGGGGAGTTCTAGCGAGCACAACGAAGGGGAGCAAAGTGAGGAGGAGGAGGAGGAAGAAGAACAAGACGATCAGGAGGAGCTAAAAGAGTCAGAGTGGGAAGGATTTGAGGAGGAGGTGTGCGCGGAGGAGCTCGAGCGAACGGAAGCGGAACAGGCGGAAGACCCCGAGGCGGCGCGCAAGAGAGAGGAGATCGCGGCCGGAAAGCGACAGCTGGAGTTTGCCAGCGCAGCAGGTCCGAGGACCCTCGACGATCCTAGGCGAGATCCGGAGCCGCCCAAGCCTGAACATGGGGACCCAGCTGCCGAGACTTCGGTTGCACCGGCAAGGCCGCGACGAAGCCGATCCCCCTCCCCCTCCACCACCGACCGTCCACCAATTCGTCCACGTACAGATGGTGGGCATCGGGCTTCGTCCCCGGTCATTATTCCGCCGTCCCCTTGACCACCTCTCTTTCCGCCAGATTACCACTCGCGTCACCTTCCCCAGCAATCCCTTCCTCATCCATACCTTCCGCTTTTTCTACGTTGTCGGTGCGAATACCCTTACAAGGGTATCTGCCCTGGTTTTTGCATGCAACAGAAGATAGGTTTGGTTTAAAGTTTAAATATTCCGCGCGAGGCGCGGATGCGTCTGTGGTTTACGATTAGGCTGAATGGTTGACGAGAGTAGAGAGTGGGTGGGCGTGCAGGTTAAGGCGCGCGTGATCCTTTTATTTTTTATTGATGATTGTGAAAGTTGGCGTAGTTATTGACCAGATATTTATTTATTTATGATTAAACTAGGATTAAAGGATATATTTTTGTTACTTGGTACGTTTAACCAAGACAGGCGCACGTGTGTGGAGATCGGCCTCAACTAAGGTTCGATTTTCGTGTGGTAAATAGAGTGCACAAGGGATAGAACACGCGCCTGACCTCCACGTGGTAGAGGTGGGAGCTCGACGGGCGTAGAGAGTTGACGGCAAGGCATGGCCCTTCATGGCTTAGGGGCGTGTCGTATCGTAGGTTGGCGACGCAACAACCCCGGGTTCACTACCTTAATTTTCGCCTTTACTTGGTGATTGAGTTCAAGACCCGCAGTGAGGTTGACGGGTCTGGCTTAGTGGGTATACCATGGAGCCGTTGGAATACAGACCGGTGCTTGATTCCAGATGAAGGGACCCGCCGTGGGGGCACCGCCCACCAGCCTTGAGTCTGCCGCGAGAGGTTCAAGTGTGAGCATGCCCCGCTGGGACCCGTAAGTAGGTAAACTGGACCCAATTCAGTCGGTCAGGGGTACAAGGGGGCGGGCCGGGCAGCGCTGCGCAGCAACAGGCTGAGTGATAGCGCAGTGAGTGACAGGCACTAGGATAGCAAGGTGAGCCAGGGAGTGATAGGCGGAGGGCGAGGAGTGTAAGCCGGGGCAGCGGGCGGAGCCTGGCAGTGTAGGAGGAAGCGACGAACGGGCTGGCGGACAAGGAGATCCGCGGGAAGTTAGACGGACAGCGAAGCCAACGAGAAAACAACAATGAGTGAGCGGAGTTAAGTATGAGAGTGGTAGGGGGAAAATAAAATGTGAGTGAATCTAGACGTGAAGACAGGCGCGGTGCATATGAGACAGAGATGGCGGAGAGAGGAGTCAGGCGCGGGCAAGGAGACGTAGCTCAGGCTCTTCGTCTTAGTTATGACTGTGGCCCGTATCAATAACGCTTGGACATACAAAGCCATATAGGCGGCCTAATACATGTGGGAGAAGGGAAGAGGAGTCGAGGCACGTACCTGGTTCTTACGGCGGTCTACGGGGACGGTAGCCTGTGACCCGGGTGTTCTGCGGTATTGTTAGCCTGCAAAATCGGCATCTGAAGGCAGTGCGACTGCTATGGTTGGGGGTAACTCCGCGAAGGAAGGTTGCTGTTGTTATTGTTGTTGCCACTGGCTGTTGTTGAGTAGTGTCGGCTGCTACTAACTGTTGCTGGTTGCTGCTGGCCACAATTGTGTATTGCAGTTGTCGCCATGGTTGACTGTGCGCGAGCCATTGCCTGTTGTTGGTTGTCGTGTACTGCGCGCATACTGCTGCTGCTGTCTGCTGCGTCTGGACACGGACTACCGCTGTTACTGGTTACCGCATATTGTGCACAAGCTGTTGCGGCTGCGGGCTGGGCACGGACTGCTACTGTTGTTGGCCACCGCTGGTGACTGATGCTATTGTCATTGACCGCCGCTGAGCACTGCTGCTGCGTTTAAAGACGGATACAAGCTGTGGTGCAGCAATGATTGGGCTAAATGGAGGTGCTGGGATTCAAAGGAATGATCAGATTGGACAAGTAGGGGTTAGTGCTGCGGATTAGGAGGTCATTGGGTGATTGATTTCGGCAGTTTGACTTCATAAGATGGCCAAGCTGCTACTATTTGGCCATCATTGCGGGACCCTCAGGCGAGTGAAGGTATCAAGGCCCTCTCCTGAGAGTTGAGTTTGTCCCTCAATGTATATCGAGCGCTTGAAACCCCTTATCTTCTGCCCTTCTTACTCTTAAGTCTAGTCTCAATCTGAGAGGAAGGCGGTAGGCGGGATTGCAACCCGTAGGACCGCAGCAAGACTCTGTGGGGAGTCAGTCCACCGATTGTGGGAGCTCTGTCGGAACTCAGGAGGAGTTCTGGAGGCAGGGAACTGAGAGGTAACTATTGCTTTCCCTCTATAAACCCAGTTATAGCCCCTATTTGTATTCCTTGCTATGTTTTGACTGAGCATGTTGCCTGTCCCCCTATTTTGACTTTCAGTTTGCATTTCATGACATAATCCAGACTAAGTAAAGGAATGTGTGTGTGAAATCAGTTTCAACTTTGTTGTTTGCCTGAAAGCAGATTGTGGGGTTGCATCTGGGGGAAGGCAGGGAGAAAGGCAGTATTGCCTGAGTTTGACTGGGTCAACCAAAGCTGGGCCAGTTCCATAAGTTTGGGAAGGCTTAGTGTTGTGTTTATTTTTGGATTATATGGAGAGTCAGTCAAATCCATAAGTTTGGGTAGTCTAGCTGCTCTGACTTGCGAGGGTTGCTTGTGGTTGACTTTTTAGGAGCCAGTCAAATCCATAAGTTGGGTAGTCTGGCGACCTTGTTTTCTTTGGGTTTTTGTGAGTTTCTTTTTGCTTTGGCTTTAAGAGAATGAACCAGGCAAAGGACCAGACAAGTTCCATAAGTTTGGGTGGTCTTGGTCCAATGCCATGCACATGCTGGAACCAAAATGATATAATTTGACTATACTTCACTATTATTCTATCGATGAACAGGCTAGTCAGACAGGGTTCCATAAGTTTGGGTGGTCTGACTATAGCCTATCACCAACTGAAGAGAGTACTAATTAAGAATAAACTTGTGGCACAAAGGGGCAGACTGAGTCTTGAGCTAAAGATGATCAGCTCAGTTATATGCTACCTCAAAAGACTAAATGCAGATAATTATATAAATTCTGGATATTTAAACAGTTCGGGGCGACTAGGGTGGCCTAGTCATATGCTCAAAGAAGATAAAAGTTGGTGTGCTCTGTGTTTGTGTATACTCTATGGCTGAGCTAGACATGTTCCATAAGTTAGGGTGGTCTAGCTTTATGCCCTATGTAAGCTGGGGGTAAAGGGATAAATCATTGAAAGACTACGAACTATTGTTTGTCCAGATTGACCTGGGGATGGTGAGAGTACTTACCTTTGTGGCTTGGCCTGCATGTGACTGAGTGAGGCTACTACTTAGTTTGAGTTTCAAGTTGATAGGTAGTTGCACTAGTTGCTCGCCATGTGCTAGAGCCATAAGAGTTAGTTTCAATTCCTGCATTTTCTGAGCTAAGTTTTTTTCTTATGTCAATTTCTGCATTTTCTGGGATCTTTTGTTATACTTGGCCTTGTATAAATCTTGGTAAGTCATTTTCTCTACGGGAAGAGTTGCCGAAATTTCTACAAAACCAAGAAGTTAATCAGACTTTGTTTTTTTTAGGGTCTAACTTTTTTGACTTTTTGGCTTAGTAAAAATCTGGAATAGCTCCTTTTCTAAAAAGAGTGCTGCCCAATTTTTTGTTAATTGAGGGAGTTAGACAAAATTAGACTTTGAAAAGTCAAAGTCACTGTAGATTCTGAACTTAGCTTTGTATAATTTCTGGAAAGACACTTTTCCTACGGGATGCGCTGCCGAAATTTTCTTAGTTTAGAGGAGTTAGATAATATTTTAACAGGTGACAATTCTGGGAAATCCTCTCTATACAGAGGAGATTCTGCCAGGGTCTACCTTTCTTTTGACACTTACTTGGAGGTAGACTTAGGCTTAGGTAATTAGGATGATTAGAGTCAGATCATGATATGGGGACTATTCTCCATAGATTATAAATTTAGCTTGGGGATTGACATGTCTTGTGTTACAGGTCTTCTTGATCGATTGATTCAGGATTTGGGCTAGATTCATCTTGATCCTACAAGGATCATCTTCTGTTATCACTGATAACTGGTCACTTGCCGATTCGTCGGTTTACGACTCAACTCCAATCCACCCTTGCCACTCAACCTAAAGGTTTTAGCCTTGTGAATTATTTTATTGTGTTTTCACCCGGACTTTATTTTGAATGGCCATTTAAAGAAAAGTACTGAGCATTTTATTTTGAGGAGTTGCACAAGAGTGAGGCTTGTATGGCTAAAAGCAAGGGGTGTGGGTGCAGAGAATGGTTGAAGTTGACCCCGTGTAGTGTATGGACTTTTCGGTTGGATCTTTGATGTGATTGCAGGTATGTTTGGTGATTCGGACTTTGGATTTGACTGCTTCGTTCACATGCATATGTATATGGCTGAGAGGAGGCTCACTATGACTGTGAGAAGTGATCGTCCTATATTAATAACCTTATTTACGTATGTATATACTTATGACTTGAGTGTTTCGCGCGGTCTATTGGGACCACGCGTAAGGGTTAAACAGATCGTGTGGTTGAGAGAAGAGGGAGATCCCCTGTTATCCTTTGCTTTTTAGATTTCTATGGTTGGACGTCGTAGTCCGTGGCAGTCGTCAAAGTCAAAACCCTCGACTTCTCCCCAGACCCTAGATGATGGAGTTGGTCTCCAGGGCAATAAGAGACGATTGCCACCACAGGTATGAACATGTGTACCACCCACTCTCCGCAGGGTGCAGAAGAGGGTGTGGTTCTCAACCGCACTTGATGGTTGTCCAGCGTCGAGAGATTAACCCTCAAGGCGCGTGTCAGCCGACACTTGAGTGTCGAATGCGACCCTCGGGATTAACGAGGACCGCATAAGTATGGGTACTGCATAGTACGCCATCATTGCGATCGTTTGTGTACGTATGCATTGCGAGTCGATGTGAGTTAACCCTGCGTCCGCGCGGTTTATACTGAGTCTCGCGCGCGACGCCTATCTGATTTCCGCGTCAGAAAGTTATGGGATGGGTACTAAGGGACTAGGAGGGTTGTCGCGATGTTTGTTTTGTGGCGTTATGTATTTGTATATGTACGTGCGTATGTGTGTGTATTTTTGTTTTTATGTGCTTAGAGTGGTGTGCGCGTGGTGTGTGGGATGCGTCCTAGTCGA